AACAGTATTGTTAACATACTCGTACCAGCCTTAACAGTATTGTTAACATACTCGTACCAGCCTTAACAGTATTGTTAACATACTTGTACCAGCCCTAACAGTATTGTTAACATACTCGTACCAGCCTTAACAGTATTGTTAGAATACTTGTACCAGCCCTAACAGTATTGTTAATATACTTGTACCAGCATTAACAGTATTGTTAACATACTCGTACCAGCCTTAACAGTATTTTTAACATACTCGTACCAGCCTTAACAGTATTGTTAAAATACTTGTACCAGCCTTAACAGTATTTTTAACATACTCGTACCAGCCTTATTACTCTTTATAAGACGTCAGAGTTGTTCGGTGGTAAACATCGAGTTTAAAAATATCACGCGATGCACATGTAGCGCGGTCGTAATCGAGGAACGTCTCAAGATTATCCCGGACACCATTACTAGTAATACAATATAAACTCTGCAACAGATATTCAGAACACATGCTTTGTTAACATACTTGTACCAGCCTTAACAGTATTGTTAACATACTCGTACCGGTCTTGCTTTGGTCTTGAACATTACAGTAAATGTAACCCCCCCCCCCCCAGTGGCACAGCGGTATTCTGCGGACTTACAACGCTAGAATCCGTGGTTCGATACCCGTGGTGGGCAGAGCTCAGATAGCCCATTGTGTAGCTTTGTGCGTAATTACAAATAAACAAACATATGTAGTCCGTTGTAATTGCTTAATGATTGCAGTCTAGTTTATAGTTTTTTTTAATTATATGGTTTATTGAATTCATTTCGAACTGAACTCTTTTTTTTTTAACCGTAGTTGAAAAACGTGGACATACAGTCATAAATTGGAATGTTATGTAAAAATTAATTTTTATCATCATCATCATTTCGGGAATTGTGTGTATCTGTCCGAAATGGGTGTGGCTGGTATCTTCTCACATTGCACTTTCCACATTAAGTTGAAGTCAGTATTTCTTAAGTTACCCGTGTGAGGGCGCTCTACGAGGATCATAAAAATATATTCTCACATCGTACTGTCTACATTAGTTGAGGTCAGTATTTCTTAAGTTACACGAGTGAGGGCGCTCTACGCGGATCATAAAAATATATTCTCACATCGTACTGTCTACATTAGTTGAGTTCAGTATTCTTAAGTTATTCGCGTGAGGGCGCTATATACGGATTACAAAAATAGCCAAACCTTTTACAGACCGTATTGGAGTAAACGTTGATATTTTTAGATTACGACAACCGTAAAAATAAGATTTTCATTAAGTAAGTGTTATTGAAATAGTTTACTGTGGTGTAGATGTTTCACTCGCTGGATTTGGACTTTCTCACGTTTTTAGAATTGCTTAAAATGTCCACCCATCTGGTTGTGTTCACGTCTTCTGGCAATTCACGTGATTATGCCCTAATACATTCCATGGACCCGACCACGTTGACTCGTGTGATTTTTATGTAATCTTGGCAGCATAGCTAGCGTGACTCTGTAAAAACTTGGGTTTTAGTTTCGTTGATGATGCTTGATGATTTTAAGCCTTTTTTTTGTTCATTTAATCTCGTGTGATATCTTTAAATGCTTAATATTTAGGAGTTGCTTGTTTTCCTTCCTTCGGCTTGTAATTAGTGCTGTAGATGTAATAAAAAATAGCCTATGAGTAATATGTGGTAATTAATATCTTTGGTATTTAAAC